CCGGTTGGTTTAAATCACTTGATTCTCGGTTTAGGATAACCGTTCGGTTTAAATCAATTGGTTCTCGGTTAAAGTTAACCCGGTCGGTTTAAATCAATTGATTTCTGGTTTAAGTTAACCGGATCGATTTGACCGGTTGGACCATTGACCGTTGACTGTTGACCGTTGACTTTGACCGTTGACCGTTGACTTTGACCAGTTGACCCGAAAACCGTTTTTCTTCGTTCGGACGCCGTTTGACTCGATTTTTCGTTCCGGTTTCAGATCCGGAGTCGGTTTATTCATTCGAGGTCCAGAAGTCGTAGGTTCAGCATTGCTAAGGTGAGGGCTATTTCCAAACCGCTGTGCTTTGTTCGAGAATCCTAATTTACGAATAGTGCAGCACTGAATGTGATGTGTTTCAATGATCGAGTCTAGTTAGTTTGATTGCTTAAATTGGACATAGGAAGATAGATGATTAAACCCATTTGTTTGTCACATACTTTTAAATGTTTTTTTGTTATAAATATATATATATATATATATATATATATATATATATATATATATATATTTTATGAGATATAGCGGATACAGATAAAGGAACTTCTGTATGGTGCCGCATTGTTTGAGGTAGGGGTGAGGGCAATGCATAATCGATCTGTTGCCCTGCACCTTAAGATCGATAAGCGTCCCAGGGGCGGTGTGAGTGGGCACTATCCCATGAGTTACCTCTGTGTGAGGGTGTGATTGGGCACTATCCCATAAATGATCTCGTTGAGGGTGTGATTGGCCACTATCCCTCCGTAGGAAAATTGTATGTTGATTGAGCACTGTAGGTGCTGTGTTTGCTCATATTTGGTACTCCATTATTTTGCGATTAGTTTTCTTGGCTGAGTCAGTGACATGCGGACTTAGCATCCCATACCTCACTGTGCGACTCCCCTGTTGCTCACCCCTCTTTCCCCATTTCAGGTGAGCCAGACGAGTAGTTATGACTTGATGAGTTGGGATGTGTCATTTTGGGATGGATTATCGTTTTCAGTATTCTATTCGAGACTTTTATTAAACAGTCGTGTTATCGACTTATGTGGATTTAGTATGTTTTATCGGATTTTTGCGCTGGTATTTTATAAAGAACTGGATGTTTATGGAAAAAGAGTTATTTGTTGTTAAAGTGATTTATGGTAACATGCCGTTCCCGAGAGAGGGTGAGACGGATGTTACACGTGGCACGCCGTTCCCGAGAGAGGGTGAGACGGGTGTTACAGTTTTGGTATCAGAGCGAGGTTTAGCTGACCCGGTTTTGACCCGGGGGCTGTTTAGAGTTAGAACGCTCGAGTATTCGGAATTTGTTTTTAAAACAAAAGTTGTTTCGGGAATGGGAGAATTTCTAAAAAAAAAAAAAAAAAATGATGACACACCTTTCTGTTGAGTATTAAGTGTATTGTTAGTAGCGTCCGCATCTCCGCTAAAGTTAATCGAGTTTCCTCCATTTCAGATGGGGACAATAGTTTTCTTTGGATTATTAAGTTGACTTGGAGAAGTTAACTTTATTTACCAATTAGCCAACATTAAAAAGAGAACTAGTGAGGACCATAGTTTTCTTGGACTGGCAAGTTAGTGTCAGAAGTTTGTATAAGAGTTTGCTATGGATAAACCAATGTTTTGACTCATAAGAATGGACGTGAAGTTCGAGTGGATGGAGGAGTGGGAGAGTAACTTCCAAATGGTTAACTGACATTTGACGGAAACAAGTGTTACTACGACCAAAGATGAGATTCCGAGATGGTTCTACAAAGTTCAAAGACGTGATTTTCTATCGAGCAAATCAGTCTATTTTAGTCTTATGTATAGAGAGCACTTAAGGGAAGTGCTAAAAAGGGGTGGAGAGTAGTGTGGGCGGACCCCACACGACAACCCAATAATGTATTTCGACAAAGAACATGTTGTGATGTTTACAACAAAGTGTAAAGATAAGTTGTGGTAGCAAACACACAAGCCAAGTTATGCTTATGTATGGAGAACACTTAAGAAAATTATTACAAAGGAAGTGGCAAAGAGCAGTGTGGGAGGACACATTACGGTAATCTACACTATGAATGTTTTTTTTTAAGAATGTGGATGTGATAGAGTGTCATAACAAGAGGAAGTTATGCCAATGGGGTTGTGCTGTATTATTTCCATTGACTTCAGCGAAGTTATTTTTACCCGAAAGGAAAAGGGTATGGTGAATAAAATTTGCTATTGAACTGCCAAAGACGATTTACAATAAGGACACAACTTGGATAGTTGTAGAGCGGGCTAGGTCAAGATGAAAGGTGTCTGGGAGGAAAATTTTTATATTGTGGGTTTGGAGAAAGCCTTAAAAATGTTGGAATATAATCTTCAATCTGACTATATGGCAAAGGAATCCACTAAGGATATAGTGAAACGGAAATCACTAAGGACTTTGAGAAGACATTATTTTGGATTTGGAGTTTGCATAATGCAGGAAAGATATTCTGTGGCAAATGAGCAATTACGTGGAAAAAGTAATACTTCGAAAGAATAAGGATTTCAAAAAGAGTGTTAGGAAAACACTACGTGAGTTTTACAAGTTTGTAGCTGGGAGTTAGAATTGCAGAGTGAGTGCATCAGAATCGTTGTGGACCTTAATCAACGTGTCACATTAAACCATAACGGGCATGGTTAGAATCGTATTTCGGAGCATTGTTAAATAAAGACGTATGTTTGTGCATCAGTCATTTTTACAAAGACAAGGTAATGGAAAAACCGTTGTTGAAAATTTACTTGGAAATTTGGAAGATGAGTTTTCTGTTTAACTCAAGAAGGTTAAGCAACTATGACATTAGATGTTCCATGTGGTCATATTGCTTGACAATGGAATCAACCATATTCTAGGGGAAGAGTAGGTTATTAATTAAATCAAGAGCTAAATATGAGATTGCAAAGAGGGACTCCACACTGCGGAGAATAGTATGTTCATGTATAAGAACCGAATTAGGGTGCCAGATGCCAAAGGTCTGAAGGATGAGATCTTGGCACAAGCTCACAGTTCACGGTTTTCGGTTCACCCTGGAACGACTAAGATGTATCATGACCTAAAGCGGTATTATAATTGGACCAATATGGAACGTGATGTGGCTGCTTGGGTATCAAAGTGTCAGATTTGTCAGCAAGTAAAAACAGAGTATAAAGTTCCAAGTGGTTTACTCCAGAATTTACCCTTATCCTGGAACGACTATGATAACAATGGATTTTGTCACCGGACTTCCAACAACCACCAGGTGGTAAGAATGTCATTTGGGTGATCGTGGACCGACTCACCAAGACAGCTCATTTCTTGGCCATCAAGAAATTAGACAATGCAGATGTCTTAGCGCAGCTGTACCTAGACAAGATTGTTTCTAAGCATGGGGTGCCAATAAGCTTAGTGTCGGATCGGGATCCAAAAATTTACATATACTTTCTAGCAAGCTTTACAGAAGGCCTTGGGAACAAAGGTACGCCTTAGTACAACTTATCATCCCCAGACTGAGGGGCAGTCTGAGAGGACAATTCAAACGCTAGAGGACATGTTGAGAACATGCGTACTCGACTGGGAGGAGAACTGGCTCGAGTACCTACCCTTGGTAGAATTTGTGTACAATAACACTTATCACTCCAGCATGGGAATGGCACCATCTGAGGCTCTTTATGGTAGGCCGTGTCGTACCCCACTTTGTTGGACCGAAGTGGAGGAGTTCTGTGACTTAGAATCTATAATGGTTCAAGAAGCGGTAAAACAAGTTGAGATGCTCAAGAGTCGACTGAAGGAAGCACATGACCGTCAGAAGAGCTATGCAGACAAGCGCAGGAACGATTTAGAGTTCGAGGTGGGTGACTTAGTATACCTTAAAATGAGGACATTTCAGGAAGCGCTAAGACTCGAAAACTAAAGAAGCTTAAGCCGAGGTCCCATGTACCGTATCCTATTGTTGAGCGGATTGGAGCAGTAGCCTACCGTTTGGGTTTATCGACAGAGTTGTCAGACTTCCATGATGTGTTCCACGTGTCAGTTTTGAGAAAGGTTGTCAGAGAGCCAAAGCTTATTTTGCAGCATCCGCCTAGGGTTCTCCGTAAGAATCTGACAGTACCGAGTCGACCAGTTGAGATTTTGGAGCGGCAAGAACAAGTCGTACAGGGAAAGATGGTGGTAAAGATCAGGGTTCGTTGGGAGAGTGACGGGATCCAGGAGGAAACTTGGGAGTCCGAAGATGAGATGAGGTCAGACTACCCAGAGCTCTTTTGGATGAGAATGAGCATGCGAATGAGGATTTGAATTCGAGGACGAATTCCTTATTAGTGGGGAAGAATTGTAACAACCCATTTAAGGCCCAAGGCCCATCCGCTGAAGCCCATGAGGCCCAATTCTTTGACCTAGGTATCCTCCTCTATTCCTCTATAAATACCCTCCTCTATCTCTCATTTTTCCCACAACTCTCCTGAGTAGTATTACTCTGCAGAAATCTCGCCAGAGTTAGCACCACCGAACCGCCGTCCACCCTCTCCCGTAACCGAGCCGACCAAGCCAACGGAAAGCTTAGTCGAAGGTAACTCCTAAAACCGAGTTTTAAAGGTTTTAGTTTCGGGCCGTTTAGTATTTTCAAGATTTCTCCCTAACCGCTTCGAATCTCGCAAAACCAAGGGTACCATCGGATTCGTGACGACGAGACGAAGCCGGAGACACCAAGCGCTGCCACCGCCGACGAGCCACGCGCCGCCACGCGCCGGAAGAAGGAAGCGCGTGACGCCCACGCGCAGCCACGCGCCGCCGAGTCCTCGGAGCGTGGAGCTCACGCGCCGCCGCCGGTGACCGGAACCGCCGCTGTTCTCCGGAGCCGCCGTGACCGGCAGCCGTCCATTCACCGCCGGGATTCCGCCGCCGCGTCGTCGCCGGACCGCCGTCGCCGCCGGTGACTTTTCCGGTAAGGTTCGCCGGATTTGTTGCCGCCGACCGGTTTGGGTTAACCGGTCGGTTTAAATTGATTTAATCCGGTTGAAATCGATTTGGTCTTGGTTTAGGTTAACCGGTTGGTTTAAATCAATTGATTCTCGGTTTAGGATAACCGTTCAGTTTAAATCAATTGATTCTCGGTTAAAGTTAACCGGTCGGTTTAAATCAATTGATTTCTGGTTTAAGTTAACCGGATCGATTTGACTGGTTGGACCGTTGACCGTTGACTGTTGACCGTTGACTTTGACCGTTGACCGTTGACTTTGACCAGTTGACCCGAAAACCGTTTTTCTTCGTTCGGACGCCGTTTGACTCGATTTTTCGTTCCGGTTTCAGATCCGGAGTCGGTTTATTCATTCGAGGTCCAGAAGTCGTAGGTTCAGCATTGCTAAGGTGAGGGCTATTTCCAAACCGCTGTGCTTTGTTCGAGAATCCTAATTTACGAATAGTGCAGCACTGAATGTGATGTGTTTCAATGATCGAGTCTAGTTAGTTTGATTGCTTAAATTGGACATAGGAAGATAGATGATTAAACCCATTTGTTTGTCACATACTGTTAAATGTTTTTTTGTTATAAATATATATATATATATATATATATATTATATGAGATATAGCGGATACAGATAAAGGAACTTCTGTATGGTGCCGCATTGTTTGAGGTAGGGGTGAGGGCAATGCATAATCGATCTGTTGCCCTCCACCTTAAGATCGATAAGCGTCCCAGGGGCGGTGTGAGTGGGCACTATCCCATGAGTTACCTCTGTGTGAGGGTGTGATTGGGCACTATCCCATAAATGATCTCGTTGAGGGTGTGATTGGCCACTATCCCTCCGTAGGAAAATTGTATGTTGATTGAGCACTGTAGGTGCTGTGTTTGCTCATATTTTGTACTCCATTATTTTGCGATTAGTTTTCTTGGCTGAGTCAGTGACATGCGGACTTAGCATCCCATACCTCACTGAGCGACTCCCCTGTTGCTCACCCCTCTTTCCCCATTTCAGGTGAGCCAGACGAGTAGTTATGACTTGATGAGTTGGGATGTGTCATTTTGGGATGGATTATCGTTTTCAGTATTCTATTCGAGACTTTTATTAAACAGTCGTGTTATCGACTTATGTGGATTTAGTATGTTTTATCGGATTTTTGTGCTGGTATTTTATAAAGAACTGGATGTTTATGGAAAAAGAGTTATTTGTTGTTAAAGTGATTTATGGTAACATGCCGTTCCCGAGAGAGGGTGAGACGGATATTACACGTGGCACGCCGTTCCCGAGAGAGGGTGAGACGGGTGTTACACTTCTTCTCAACTTCAACTTCAAACTTCCTAATGGGATGAAAGCAGATGAGATCAATATGGATGTCATGACGGGTCTTGCTATGCATAAGTCGCAGCATCTCAAGCTTGTTCCCGAGAAAGTGAACAAATAGTCAAATAAATCTATCACTGTGGTTATATAATATATGTTCTTATAGTTCATTTTGCTTCAAGGTTTGGTTTCTTTATTAAATGTTAGTCCTCTCTCTTATCTTTGTACCTTTCTCTTAATATTTTCATCAAGGAAGCAATTTACGTTGATGTCTTTTGTGATTCTTATATGTATCGGTGGATGGCTACAAAATTTGAGGTAAATATGATTTAGTAGCTAAGCTTTGAAAGGGTAGACATTTCGGTTTATTTTTCAGGTTTGGTTCGGGTTTGGTTAATTCAGTTTTACAAAAACTCTAACTGAACTCAAACCAAAACTCTAGTTTTGTTTGGTTGGTCTTAATTCGGTTTAATTATTCATATCTAAGCAAGAAAGAGATGTCAATTTAATTATTTAAACAAACACCTATAAAAAAACTAGGTAAAAGAAACTAAGTACTCCAATCATTAAAACCAAACTTAGAAAAGAAAAAAAAAAAATGAAGAGAAAAAATCTAACCAAATCTTCAATTGTGAGATGAAAGTTAAAAGCATACAAACAAATCATATAATATAATAGGACAGTTCTTTTTCAAAATAGAGTGAAACACCCCAACCCATTTTTTTTTATTTAAATAAACTCATGTCTAGTGATCCCATACTCACTAAACACCTCAACACAATCAACGGGAAAGAGCATTAAAGTCTTAAAAATAAATCCAATAAAATAACCAATAGTTCAACAATAACAAATCTCAACTCAAAAATTTATGAAAAGCAACCTAGGTGAAAGTTCTATCTCTCTGAACTAACAACCTAGCAAAACAGACACAACAACGATGATCACAACACACGAACATCTAGATCATCCCCTCTTCCTCGCCACGATTCCACGTCACACTTTGCCTTTACCTGCATCACAACACGAATGAGATGCGTAAGTATTATCATAAATACTTAGTGAGGCAATCCTCCCAAGCAAATAGAATTCGGTCTAGTCCGTAGCCGCAACCCG